TCTAACCAGTTCATCACCCTGACGATACTCCAATAAACCTTTTCTTCCCCTGACAGTTCTTCCCTTAATTTAAAAAAATGATCAGCTATCCCTCCAAAAAGATATTTATCATTTATTATTTATTTATTATAGAGGTATTTTATTGTTATTTTTTTCAATTTGATGAGAAGAATTGGATGTGAATGCAACTTTTTTTCCATAGATTTACTACATATACAAGTTGCACATAGATGCATGAACAAAGAATCTATCTAATAAAGACTGTTCAATGTGTAAAGCTTGCATAATATATGATACACATGAAAGTTCACAAATATTTAACATATGAAAACTTATTCATTTAAAAAAACATGCGATAACCATGAGTTTAACATATGAAAACATATGTTTTTAAACACATCTTTTTTTAAAACAAATGAAACACGTATTATATATGGAAGTCATAATACATGTACTTCTTTATTTATCTTTTGCTACTTTTATGACAAATAAATTCAAAATAAGCGTTACTTTCCTTGTGAAAGAAGCAGCTATATGCTCTAAATCCATTGTTTTTAAACGATTAAAATATCATGTTTGTCCCTTTCTAAAGAAAAACAAATTCGTTTCTAAGGAATAATGTGCCTTTAAACAAACAAACAGCACGGCATTCGCTTGAACATATCTAAATGTTTGTAATAAGTAAGGAAAATGCTCAGCACAACATTTGAGCCGCGTAATGACAAAACCGACATAATGGGTTTGCGACCAGCATGGATCCAGACCAGCCTGCGCATCCGCGCAGTCTGATCAGGATCCATGCTGTTCTCTATCAGTTTCTCTACTTGTTATAGAGTTGTAAGCGAACAGCATGGATCCTGATCAGACTTCGCGGATGCGCAGGCTGGTCTGGATCCATGCTGGTCACAAACCCATTATGTTGGTTTTGTCATGACGCGGCTCATTTGTTCCAATGTCAAAATACGGAGATAACGCTACCAATTAAATATTAGTCAAACCTTTGTTAAATACCTGCAGTTGATCCTGGGCTTGGCGTAGTTGAGGGTGAACCAAAAATGTCGATGCCTCCTCCAGAACTTGCTAACGGTGTGTAAGAAGGTCCTTCGCCATACTGGATGGCTTTTTGCGGGAAAGATGTCGGCGGATTAATATCATGTGAAACACCATTGTCTATAACAATTCTAGGCCTATTATCTGCAGCATTTCCTTCGGTATTTGTGGGTTCCTCAGTAGTAGAACTAGTAGTAGGACAATCGATTGTTTCCTCACGTAGTGGAAGTTTAAATGACGTCACAGGCTCTGTGTGAAATAGAGATAATAAAACACGGTGGTACTGTGTGTTAAGTAACAACAGATGATTTGTTGTGCGTGTTTTGTCCAATGATAATTGCATCACAATGTTTCTATATTTTACAAAATCATCATTTACATTTCGTCTTGCAAGTTGTCAATATTAATTTGACATCTCTTCCATATTTTAGTTTGTAGGACAAACATTTTTTACGTTAGTCATACACAGTGCATACTATGTCCAGACCAATCTGACTAAAGTGCAGATCTACTATTTTCTTACAGGTAGATCTGATTATGATATCACCGTATATTTTCACCTTCATTATGATTAGGATTTCCCGAGAATATATTTAGCCATGCAAGCAAACGGTTTTTTTTTCAGATAGGCATTTGACAAAATATCAAAATTTCGTTGTCCGCGGAAGTAAAACAAATTGTTGATTTTTGTTATTATTGAAAACAAATTGTTTGAAGTTATCTAAAAAAAGTAAACTGGTAATAATAGACTCAGGACTCAGTTTTTTAATGGGCAAGATTGTATTGCCAGTTTACCTGCCGACTTCATGGACAACGCAGCGTTTGTTCTCGAAATCGTGAAACCGACTCATTATTGGTTTTCCAGCGATTAAAATCAGAAACCCAAAATTGTGAAAGCTCGCCGATGACTGGCTAAAGAAGGTGACATTTTTTGCTGATTGTCAGATCTTAATGCGTAGTGTTATTTAGGAGCTGATTTTAATCAGATTGTGACAAGACTTTCGGAGGGTTATTTTCTCTGTTAAAGAATATCGTCTATTAAAGTCATTGTGAGCATAAAATAGCATTGTATATATATGTTAACTATAGTTTAGCAAGGTTGACTAAAGGAAAACATTTTTATCAAATGCTTTAAACCATATTATCAAAGCAACACCGTCAAGATGAATTGTTAACAGTGAACTGCCGTTAATTATATATTTCTATTGACAAAATGTTGAGTCGTACAAGGCAAAACATGTTTTTAGTTTCAATAAATAATTCAAGTAAACGCGCATGTGATGGTCACTGTTTTTATATTAATTTTGTAATGTTTACATCCGGTTCAGAAAAAATGAAACAACTTTTCTTGATATAGTTCTATTTAAAACATCATGTACCTACCTGTATTTTGTTCAAATATGTATATTTTTTTCTATCAATACACGATTTATTTTCATCGAGTGGTATGAAAATCAATATTTCATGAGTTGCGGTAGCCATGAGTGAAATATAATAATTTTGATATCATAATGAAAATTTTCCCTGTATTTATAGAAAAAAATGAATTTTCTGTTTATCATATATCGTACAATATATATATATATATATATAAATTGTGTGTACTGGTAGAATTTAGAGGTAAATAGACTGGCAAGACACCAGTGAAAATACAAAAAATATATTTGACTGTAGTGGAAAATAATTTTTTACAGTGAAAAAACGGAAAATTAAATACGCATTTTATTTCACCAATACATTGTATTTCTCAATATTTCATTCATAAGTATTACAATAATAATAAAGAAACATACTTGGAGTTGTCCCACTTGCACAGTCTTCATTCAGAGCGCCATCTATGTCAGCGTCTGTAATATAAACATGCTTATCATCTTTCAGTAAAATATTTTGAAATCTATCAAATTCTTACTGAATATGACTAATTTGAATTACATAATACACAAACTGTGTATGGAAATGTGCATCCCCCAAATTTCTAGTCCAGTGAAGTTGGCCATTGTTTTGAAAGACTGCCAGTTTGTTGTTGTTGTTTTTCCATTACACTATGTATTCATACTATCTTCACATGTTGTGTATTGAACGTTTTACATATACTACATATGTACTCAAAACATGTCTAGTTTACCTTTTCAAAGGGACTGTGCAGCAATTATTAATATTTTCATACATCCAGTTTGAGCATAAAACATCTTTAAAAACATGTGATAAGTCCTATTCAATATTTGTCAGATATCTCTCAAACAAACTAAAACTATACTAAAACTATGTTTTTAGTATTTTGGGAAACATTCGTCTGCGCAGATCTCGGGCAAGGATTGTATTTTCGTGCACTGTACCACAATAGATTTAATATATTTTTGTCATTCAAATGCACAATTCCGTACAAACTCATCGCCGGTTACCGTCCTTGTATCATATTTTGGGTCTTTTCTGTTGAAAATGTGTCAGAGTTAAATCGAATTCACATACATGCAAAGTGCGTTAACTGGAGTGCGGGTATTAGTTTCCCGCACTCTAGACCATGCTCTTCGAATGGCTCATTTTTCCGGTCTTCACTTAATGTGATGACAGAGATAGAAATGTCATGTAGTCATATGTTCGTCCATTGGTTACTTTTGTCATATGCTCGTCCATTGGTTACTTTTGTCATATGCTCGTCCATTGGTTACTTTTGTCTGTTTTTTCGTATTGTGATAACAGGTATCGTGTTTTGACACAAAAGCTTCGCCCCTCGTACAAATCAGGTGGCTTCGTGTTTAAATGCTCTATTACGTGTATTCTACATTTAAGGTTACTTACGGTATATAATCCGTTCATACTACATCATCATGTGTAAAAGAATCATTTACATTTGCATAGGTTTCGTAGATATACTGTGTAAACAAACCGGAAACTATTGCTTTCCGATCAGTCTAAATGGAAAATTTTATGTTGATATAATCATTAAAATATTCCTCATTCAGACGGTAAAGATCCAAAGTATGGCTAAGTATTGCTTATTTCTTCTTTCTCTTCGTTAATACATCATTCCTTAACACGCTTTATAACTTATATGGACTCATCCGTTTTCCATTCTGCACTGAACCATTTATCATATTTAGGGGACACAATCAAATATATAACGACTAAATACTGAACAATGCAGACCATTTTAAAACGTCAACGGTCAGAAGCCGACAATAGGCGAAAACGTTGCATTTTACTTTATAGAAACGACGTCAAGTTAAAAAATTTAAATCTTTCTATCTGTGTACGTTAGTTTGTTTGATAAGTGATCAGTATATTTATCAAATCATATTTTTGATGAAATAGGGTACAGAATAATCAAGTATTTTGTTGTAACATAAGTCTCTGGTACTTAAACGTGCATTCTACATGATATTTTAACGCACGACCTCATAAGGGAGACGATTTGTGCACGTTTTTTTGTCCGTTTGGGTTGTATGTATAAGGAGATAGACTCGGAGCAAGTTAGTGTTACAAACGAAGGTGACCATCTTTACCTATTTCACCAGGTATAATATCGACCGTACACTGTTCCTCGTCCACAAGACCGTCACAATCGTTGTCAATGTTGTCACCTGGCACACCTTTAGTTATCGTGCACACCTTTAAAAAAAGATATCAATGCCGATATAAAAGATATTAATTTATCTAAGAATATGCTTTGCAATGATACGTCATCATAGAATAACAAGAAATAAGATAATAACAAAAAATATATATAACAACAACACGTCATAGAACAACAAGAAAAATGATAATAACAAGATATTATAGAACAAAAATATAAAACAGGACAGCACAGAACAACACGAAATAAGATAATAACAAGATGTTATAGAACAATAGTATAAAACAACAGGACATCTTAGAACAACAAGGAATAATATTATAACAAGATATTAAAAAACAAAAAATGAAAACAACAAGACAGCATGGATCAACACGAAATAAGATTAATACAAGATATTATAGGACAAACATATAAAACAACATGATACCATAGGATAATAAGAAATTATATACATGTAATAGCAAGGTAGATTTTCTATTATAGAACAAAAAAAATAACAGGATACCATAGAACAACAATAATTTGAATAATAATAAGATATTATAGAACACAGATATAAAAAAAACAGGACATCATAGAACAACAAGTAATTAGATAATAACGAAATTTAAAAGACCAAAAATATAAAACAACAGGACACGATAGAACAATAAAAACTAGAACTGCCACTGTCATGGCGTGTATATCCCCGCATACCACTTTGTCAGAATCAACAGTGGCCATTTAGAGTTCAAGGACAACCTCCCTGCCAAATCTAAGGTTACTAAGCCAGTGCATTGCTAAGTTATGTATTCTACATGCTTCAAATGTGAAAATGTCAAAATCAACACACTGTGGGCAGGCATTCTTAAACATTTGAGCAGACAAGCTTATTATAGTAAAGTCCCTGTGACGTTGACTTTTGACAAAGTCACCCTAAAATCAAAGGGGTTATCTACTAGTCATAAATAACCTCAATATTGAAGACTGTTCACCAAAGCATTCTTAAGCAACTGAGCGGAAAGGCTTTTTTAGTCAAGGCCCCTGTGACCTTTGACCCAATGATTTTAAAGTTTAAAATCAATAGGGGTCCCCTAATGGTCATGACCAACTTCTATGCAAAATATGAAGACAGTGAGTCAAAAGTTTCTTAAGTTATTGGGCAGACAAAAGTTTTGAAGTCAAAGTCCCTGTGACCTTGACCTTTGACCTAGTGACCTAAAAATCAAGGAGTCATCTACTAACCATGACTTAACTACATGCAAAATATGAAGACTTCTGGTCAAAGAAATTTTAAGTTATTGGGCGGACAAGTTTTTTTAGTCAAGGCCCCTGTGACCTTAATTTTAACCCAGTGACCTCAAAATAAAAATGGGTCATCTATTAATCATGGCTAACCTCCATGCCAAATATGAAGACTGTGGGTCAAAGGAATCTTCTTAAATTATTGAGCGGACAAGCTTTTTGAAGCCAAGGCCCCTGTGAACTTGACCTTTGATCTAATGACCGCACAATCCAAAAGGGTCCTCGACAAATCATAACCAAATTCAATTCCAAATATCAAGACTGTTGGTCAAAGGAATCTTAAATTATTGGGCGGACAAGCTTTTTAAGTCAAGGCCCCTGTGACCTTGACCTTTGATCTGGTGACCTTAAAATCAATAGGGATCATTAACTTATAATGACCAATCTAAATACCAAATATAAAGTCTGTGGGTCAAAGGAATCTTAAGTTATTGGGCGGACAAACTTAATGAAGTCAAGGCCCCTGTGACCTTGACCTTTGACCCAGTGACCTTAAAATCAATTGGGATCATTTACTTATAATGACCAATCTCAATACCAAATTTAAAGACTGTGAATCAAATGAATCCTAAGTTATTGGGCGGACAAGAATTTTGAAGTCAATACCCCTGTGACCTTGACCTTTGACCCAGTGTTCTCAACATCAATAAGGATCATCATCTATTTATGGCCTATCTAAATGTTAAATATGAAGACTTTGGGTCAAAGGAATCCTAAGTTATTGGGCGGAGAATCTTTTTGAAGTCAATGCACCTGTGACCTTGACCTTTGACCCAGTGACCTCAAAATCAATCGGGATCATCTACTATTCATGACCAGTCTAAATACCAAGTATAAAGACTGTGGGTCAAAGAAATCTTAAGTTATTGGGCGGACAATGAAAACCCAACGGACGGCCGGAAGACGGGACGGACAGACGGCCGGACGGACAAGCTGATTCCAGTATACCCCCCTTACAACTTCGTTGTGCGGGGGTATAATTAGATAACAAGAATGTCGAATGACACATATGCCCCCTTTTCTAGCCCTTGACTCACATAATTGGTAATTTTGTTACAGGACATTGCCATAAATGGGTACATGGAAGTGTTCAATTATGGAAAAAAGAAAAATAATGAAGAATTTGTGATAAATAGTTTTCAAGATAATGAGATATTTAAGGCCACTGTGACCTAGAACTTTGAACTAGTGACCTAAAATCAAAAGGGGTCATCTTATATGTAATACTAATCAATACTACAAATATAAAGACTTTGTGATAAATAGTTTCAAGATAATAAGCGGAAACCAAACTGACATTCAAGAACTCTGTGAATTTTACCTTTGACCTACTCACCCCAAAATCAATAGGTTCACTTACCTGTGATAAAAAATCTTCAAGATAATCAGCGGAAACCGTTTTGACATTTAAGGCCCTTGTGACCTTGACCTATGACTTAGTGAACCCAAAAGCAATAGGGGTCATCTACTACTCATGACCATTCACTTTGTGAAATATGAAGACTTTGAGATGAATACTTTTCAAGATAATCAGCGGAAACCATTTTCATATTTAAGGTCCCTGTGACCCTGACCTTTGACCTAGTGACCCCAAAATCAATAGTAGTCATCTACTAGTTATGACCAATCAATATGTGAAATATGACTCCTTTCTGATGAATACGTTACAAGATAATCAGCGGAAACCATGTGGTCTACCGACGGACAGACCGACAGACAGACCGACCGACTGACAGATCGACATTAACAAAACTATATACCCCCTCTTCTTCGAAGGGGGGGGGGGCATGAAAATAATATATTAAAGAAAAAAAACAGTATCTCATAGTACAACAAGAAATAAGATAATTACAAATTATTATCAAAAATATAAAACAACAGAACACCGTAGCACAACAAGTAATTAGATAATAACAAAATATTATAGAACAAAAATATAAAACAACAGAACATTATAGAACAACATACAGCACATTAAAGAAATACAGTATGATATAGAACAACAAAACATGACAGATAAACAAACCAAAATAGAACAATTGATAGATAATAGAAAAAGTAATTATCATAAAACGAAAGTCATTATAATACAATCATAAGATATAAGCAATTAGTTTATGCAAATTTATTTTAGTTGTAGTGCGTTGGGTTCTATAAGCTTATTAAAACATTCTCGAATCCGTTCCTGGAACCAACCAGTACTAAGCAATGGATGTAAAGGTTCTTAATCAAGAAAACAACGGCTTGCCCCTGACAGGGTTTGAACCCACGCAATTATCAGCTAGACAAAAGAAGACATGATAAAACATGTAAACATGTTAGAAAAAATAAGACATTACAACTGCAATACGTTTTAGAACAACATCATACAAAAACGACTAATTATTAGAGAGCAACAAGACAGTACAGAATACAAAAAAACAACACAATAACATTATACGCTCATAGAACAACTTGATACCATAGACTTACAAGCAATTATCATAGTATTGCAAGCAATCCATAAGTCCCCTACCGGTTAGAACCCCATCAACATTCTGAAGGGCCATTGGCCATTCACTTAATGTTTCAATTTTTCTCTATTTTAAGTAAATTTGTTGGAAAAGTTCTTTAAAAGTGATCACAGGAAACAGTTTTTATGAACAGACAGACAGACGGACTGAAGGACACTCTAAAGTTAATATTTGAAACATCCCTGATACCAAAATATAACATTTTAAAAGCAAAATTCTTAAAGAGGAGATAACTCTTGAATTAAAGATGCAATTTCATAAAAATTTTCAGCTCTTTTTGACTAATCACAAATATTGTTATATTTGCCATGTTTTAAGCCTATTTGTTGCCAAGGCAACAGATATTTTTTGAAAATAGGAAGAACAGATAAGACATGCATAATCTCAAGACTGCTATCTACCCATATGTCAAGTTTCATAAAAATATTTCCAGTACTTTTTGCCTTATCACTGGATCCAGTTTATGTGTAAAATTTACCATATTTTCAGCCTTTTTGTTGCCATAGCAACCAGAATTTTCAACATAGGAAGAAAAGAGAAATACGTGCATAATCTCAAGACTGCTATCTACCCATATGTCAAGTTTCATAAAAATATTTCCAGTACTTTTTTGCGTTATCACTGGATCCAGTTTATGTGTAAAATTTGCCATATTTTCAGCCTATTTGTTGCCATAGCAACCAGAATTTTCAACATAGGAAGAAAAGAAAAATATGTGCATAATCTCAAGACTGCCATCTACTCACATGTCAAGTTTCATAAAAATATTTCCAGTACTTTTTGCGTTATCACTGGATCCAGTTTATGTGTAAAATTTGCCATGTTTTCAGCCTATTTGTTGCCATAGCAACCAGAATTTACAACATAGGAAGAAAATAAAAAGACGTGCATAATCTCCATACTGCCATCTATCCATATACCAAGTTTCATAAAAATATTTTCAGTACTTTTTGCGTTATCACTGGATCCAGTTTATGTGTAAAATTTGCCATATTTTCAGCCTATTTGTTGCCATAGCAACCAGAATTTTCAACATAGGAAGAAAATAAAAAGACGTGCATAATCTCCATACTGCCATCTATCCATATACCAAGTTTCATAAAAATATTTTTAGTACTTTTCAAGTTATCGCGGGATCCAGTTTTGTGGACGGACGGACTGACGGACTGACAGACAGACGGACGGACAGATGGACAGACGGACGGACAGACGGACGGAGGGTAAACCTAAAGTCCCCTCCGGTAAACCGGTAGGGGACTAACAAGACACTTTTTAAGAACGTGATATTATAGAACAACAATATATTATAGAAATAGAACCATTTAACATCAACAGGTCTAAAACACGACGAACAGAACAACAAGACATTAATGACTAACAAGATATCAAAGAATAATAAAAAAAACATTTTCAAAAGCGATAACAAACTGATTTTAAAATAAAGACATATTTTAGAACCAAAACGCACTACAAATGTTCGACAAATCAAAGATCGATCTAAAATTTACACAAACCTTCTTACTAGTGTACATCACATTTCCTGGAACTAAAAGTTTGACTGAAGATTCCAATTGTAATATGTCAAGGACAAACGTTTTATTTAGATAGGTTTCTGGATTATTAAAGGCTTGAATACCAATGCTTGGCTGAGAGCCGACATTTCCATTTTCATCAGTCGCATATCTTGTCCTTTCGTGTAATAAAAGTATAAAAATCATCATGCATTTTTCTTTACATTTTTTAACATTTATATTGTTTGGCAATATTGACCTGACACATTTGAATATTCAATGACCTTTTGTCGATAATTATAGGATTCAGATGTAAATGTGATACTAAAGTATGATTTAAAAGTATGGCTTAACGAGACTATCTGATTTGTACAAGGGGGGTTGGGGTAGCCTTCGAGTATAAATCAGATTGTCGAGTGTTTATGATGTTCTTTCTCTTTGTATCATAAACAAAAATAAAAACACGTTCCATGTTCTAACAATATGAAATCCCTGAAAAAAAGTAACCAATGAACGAGCATCTGGATATGATATTTCTATCACTATCCCTTTCTTTGTCGTCAAAATAAGTAAATCCCAGAAACAAATGAGCCAATCGATTGGCATGTTCTGGAGTGCGGGTAATTTATACCTGCGCTCCAGTTAACGCACTGTGCATGTATATGTATACGAGTTTATACATTTTCAACAGACAGGTACCGAAACTATGACACAAGCATATTTTAAAGCTTCTAACATAAAACCTGCTTTACTAGCCTCAGTGAAAAAGTGTTAAAAGAGTATGTGAGAGGTTAGCAGTTAACAGTGAGCTAAGCAAAAGACATTACGATTTATATAGGGAAATCAATGATCTGCTGTTATGCTTAGCTGGGTAAGCGATCTAGCAGAGCATTCCTATATATAGTGTAAAAATGATCTGCTGGTATGCTCAGCTGGGTAAGCAATCTAGCGGGGCATTCTAAAATATAGCGTAAAATGCTCTGCTGGTATGCTCAGCTGACTCAGCAATCTAGCGGGACATTCCAAAATATAGTGTAAAAATGGTCTGCTGGTATGCTCAGCTGGCTAAGTAATTAAGCAGGGCATTCCAAAATAAAGTATAAAAATGCTGTGCTGTATGCTCAGCTGGCTAGGCAATCTAGCAAGGCATTCCTACATATAGTGTAAAAATGATCTGTTTGTATGCTCAGCTGGCTAGGCAATCTAGCAGGGCATTCCTAAATATTGTGTAAAAATGCTTTACTGGTATGCTCAGCTGGCTAAGCAGTCTAGCAGAGCTTCCCTAAATATAGTGTAAAAATGTTCTGCCGGTAAGCTAAGCTGGCTAAGCAATCTAGCGGTGCGTTCCAAAATATAGCGTAAAATGCTCAGCTGGTTTGCTCAGCTGGTTGAGCAATGTAGCAGGACATTCCTAGATATAGTGTTAAAATGCTCAGTTGGCTAGGCAATCCAGCAGAGCATTCTAAAATTGTGTAAAATATTCTGCCGGAATGCTGAGCTTTCTAGGCAAACTAGAAGTGCATTCTTTAATAAAGTTTTTTTTTCCTGATGAAATGCCGAGCTGGCAGAGCAATTTAACAGGGCATTCTTAAATACAGAGTAAATATTTTTCCTCTTTTACTCCTTATGCATCCACTTGTAATCATTATGCCTCTGAACATTTTATTTTTGTTGCGAGATCCATTTCACTGGTCTTTGTTTGCGCATTTGACTGACTTCCTCGAAGACTTCCAGGACTTTCAGGAATTTTTTATGACAAGGCAGATAATGACATTTTTTTTTACTTCTAGGAACCATCCAGTGTCCATTTTGTTGGTCTGCGACTTAGTCTTGGACAGTCCCAGACTTTAAGGAATTGTTGGTGCCAATAGAGATAATTACATTTTTGACATCTTTCGATCATCCAGAGTCTATTTCGCTGATCTACGACTGATTATTGGGCACTTGCAGACTTTCAGGAATTTTTGGTGCTAATGCAGATAATGACATTTTAGAGTAAAAATACACTGCATCTGACTAAGGGGTCCTTAACATTTGAAAATGTCATGATATGCAATGGCACCAAACATCCTGATAGTCTGTAAGTGTCCCAAAATCAGTCGCAGACAAGAAAATGGAATCCTAAAGGTCCTTAGAAGTAAAAAATATGATTATTTCTATTGGCACCAACCATTCCTGAAAGTCTGCGAGTGTCCTACAATCAGTCGCAGACAAACGAAATGGACTTGTGAATGTCCCTAGAAGTCTAAATTGTCAATATCAGCATTGGCATCAAAATTTCCAAAAAGTCTGCAAGTGTCCCAAAATCAGTCGCAGACCAGCGAAATGGACTCTGGTGGGTCGCTAGAAGTCAAAAATGTCATTATCTCCATAGGCACCATTGATTCCTGAAAGTCTTCGAGTGTCCCAGAATCAGTCGCAGACAAGAAAAATGGACTCTGGCGGGTGTCTTGAAGTTAAAATTGCAATCATCTCTATTGGTACCAAACTTTCCTGAAAGTCTGCAAGTGTCCAACTATACTCCGCAGGCCAAGGAAATGGACTTTTAAAGGTCCCTAGAAGTAAAAAATATGATTATTTCGATTGGAACCAACAATTCTTGAAAGTCTGGGAGTGTCCCAGAACCAGTCGCAGATCAACGAAATGGACTCTTGAATATTCCATATATTCTAAATTGTAAAGATAAGCATTGGCACCAAAATTCCTGAAAGTCTGCGAGTGCCCATCAAAAAGTCGCAGGCTCTTTAAGGTCCCGAGAAGTAAAAAAATATCATTATTTCTATTGGCACCAAAAATTCCTGAAATTCTGCGAGTGCTTCAAAAGTGCCTAGAAGTAGAAACTGTCAATAAAACGTCGGCAACAATAAGTCCAGTCTGCCAGCTGACCATTCCAGCAGAGCATATTAATACTATTATTCAGAATTAACCGCAAGATTTCTTATCCAAAACAGCATTTTCACACTATTTTTCAGAATGTTCTGCTAGGTTGCCTAGCCAACTCGGAATATAACGCAAATTTAATACTATAATTAAGAATGTCCCGCTATATTGCGTTGTGCAGCAGAGTATTTTTACACTATAAATTGTATTTATGTATACCCTGCGTAATTTCATAGCCAGCTAAGCATTCCAGAGGAGCATTTTACACTATATTAAGGAATGTCCTGCTAGGTTGCAAAGACAGCTGGGTATTACATTTTAAAGTGACATTGTGCTCATATTTTCATAGTCAAGTTGAGCTGAATTGACTTTATATTTCAAAAGATTGACTTTTTAAATGTTGTTTAACCAACTGTTTAATATTGGAAAATGTTTAGGTTAAAATTTAAAATCTGGCTAAAATATAAAAAGACTGCCCCACTCTTTCTATAAATTAAACGTTACAGGTAAATTCAACATGAAATTTACAGACATTTCGTTTGAATCAGGCCGCTATTTATTGTTTATGCGAAACAAATTATTAAATTAAAAGGAATGGTGGCAAAATGAAAATTTATTTAGATTCTCGCCTGTTCACTCACTATATACCTTTAGATGGGCATAATGTCACTTTAACACTATGTTTAGGAATACACTGCTAAATTGCCTAGCCAGCTGAGCGTTCCAGCAGAGCATTTGTACAATATTTAGGAATGCCGTGTTAGATTGCCTAGTCAGCTAAGCATTCCATCAGAGCAGTTTTACATTATATTTAGGTATGCCCTGCTAGATTTCAAAGACAGCTGAGTATTGCAGCAGAGCAGTTTTACACTTTATTTAGGAATGCCCTGCTAGATTGCTTGGCCAGCTTAGCATTTCAGCAGAGAATTTTTACACTATATTTAGTATTGCCCTGCTAGATTGCCTAGCTAGCTTAATATTCCACAAGAGCATTTTTTCACTATATTAGAAATGCCCTGCTTGATTGCCTAGCCAGCTTAGCACACCGCCAGAGCATCTTTTCTCTATATTAAGGATTGCTCTGCTATATTCCTTACCAGCTTAGCATTCCAGCAGAGCATTTTAAGACTTTATTAAGTAATGCACTGCTAGATTGCCTAGCCAGCTTAGCATTTCAGCAAAGCATTTTTACACTATATTAAGGAATGCCCTGCTTGATTGCCCAGCCAGCTTAGGACATCGCCAGAGCATTTTTTTCTCTATATTAAGGATTGCTCTGGTATATTCCCTACTAGCTTAGCATTTCAGCAGAGCATTCTAAGACTATATCTACTCGTAGTAATGCACTGCTAGATTGCCTAGCCAGCTTAGCATTCAGGCAGAGCATTTTAACACTATATTTAGTAATGCACTGCTAAATTGCCTAGCCAGCTAAGCATTCCAGCAGAGCATTTTACACTATATTTAGTAACGCACTGCTAGATTGCCTCGCCAGCTAAGCATTCCAGCAGAGCATTTTTACACTATATTTAGTAATGCCCTGCTAGATTGCCAAGACAGCTGAGTATTGCAGGAGAGCAGTTTGACACTTTATTTAGGAATGCTCTGCTAGATTGCCTAGCCAGCTTAGCATTCCAGCAGAGCATTTTTACACTATATTTAGTAATGCCCACCTTAGCATTCCAGCAGAACATTTTTATACTATATTTAGTAATGCCCTGCTAGATTGCCTAGCCAGCTGAGAATAACAGCAGAGCATTTTTTTTACTATATTTAGTAATGCCCTGCTAGATTGCCTAGCCAGCTGAGCGTTCCAGCAGAGCATTTTTAAACTATATTTAGAAATGCCCTGCTAATTTGCCTAGCCAGGTTGGCATTCCAGCAGAGCATGTTTACACTATATTTAGTAATGCCCATCTTAGCATTCCAGCAGAACATTTTTATACTATATTTAGTATACCCTGCTAGATTGCCTAGCCAGCTGAGAATAACAGCAGAGCATTTTTTTTACTATATTTAGTAATGCCCTGCTAGATTGCCTAGCCAGCTGAGCGTTCCAGCAGAGCATTTTTTCACTATTGCTATGAATGCTCTGCTAGATTGCCAAGACAGCTGAGTATGGCAGCAGAGCATTTTTACACTATAGTTCGGAATGCCCCGCTAGATGCCCAAAACAGCTGAGCATTACAGCAGATCAATGACACCCCTATATAAATTGAAATGCCTTTTTGCGTAGCTCACTGTTCACTGCTAACTTCTCACATACAATCAGTTTCAAATTGAATTTAAGGTTGAACA